GATTGCTACGTTATTTCGTCGTGTGAAACTATATAATACGTCGTTTTTATAAATAATCGTCGTTTGTTTTCTTGTGCTGACTTTTTTATATATCTTTGTTTTATATTAATTTTGTGCAGCCTTCATTGGGTCTTGCTGATTGTGAGAGCAAAGAAGGAAATCGTCTATTTTCTGGATCCTCTGCCTGGAAATCGTGTGGTTAATGAGGAGGCCAAAAACATGGTGAACAGTGCTATAAAAATTTATAATTCCTACATAGGCAGACAAGGCCGTAAAGCACCTATTTGGAAAACTCTGCCAGGCACACCAAAGCAACCCAGCAGTGTCGAATGCGGGTATTATGTCATGCGCTTCATGAGAGACATCATCACGGATCCTTCCCTGGAGTTTGAGAAGACGGTAAGAAGAAAATTTTCAGATACATTTTATGTGGTTTTTTGTATTATCAACGACGGTCCTTTAAAATTACCGTCGTTGAATCGATATACTACGTCGGTTATGAAAATAGCGTCGTCTGTGAATGAATTTCTTTTTTATTTATAAAGCTTAATAATCATTGTTTATGGATTGCAATTTCCCAAGGGAAAAGAGCAAGCGCCATACCGCCAAGCAGCCATTGATGAAGTCAGGAATGAATGGGAAGAGTTTGTTTGCCTTCATGTGGATTAAAGGATTTTTAGAACACTTGATATTTTTATATAATTTACAAATTTTGTCTATAATATACATCCGTTTTTTCCCTGAAAATTTGTTGAGGTTTTCTTAATTTTAAAAAAAACAAAAAACAAATTGCGTAACCGACGTGTAATAGTTTGAAACAAAACCGACGTAAAAGGATATTTAGACGACAGGTATGACGTGGTAATTAAATTACACAGCGACACCTTTTTTGTTTAAGTCGTGATATAACGTTTGTACGTTGATAGGACGTCGTTTTAGTGAAAATTTCGTCATGGTTTCGCTTTTAAATGACGTCCTGTCAACAAGTAAGTCGTTTATTATATTTACAACGTCATTACTTTCTTAAAGTGGACGTGGTTTGTTGTGTTTGTAGGAATATTTTATTCTATTTCATTCAAAATATTCATAATAAATATAAAATAGATCAAAAAAATGCAACGTCAACTCCTATGAAGTCATTGATATATTTTCTTCCCCCTAAACCTTAAAAGAATTCAGTTTGAGTAATACAAATTTAAAATGATCACCCAAAAATGAATTGTTTTGATGAGTCATAACATCACTTGTAGTTTGATGGTTTAGGATTTAGGGTTTAGGGTTTAGGCTTGTTATTTATTAGGGTTAAAGGATAATTTTTGGGGTTTACGGTTTATGTTTGTTATATATTAGGCTGTAAAACCATAAACCCTTTTATAAAATTATATTTAAAAAATATATAATTTAGGGTATTACTTTTTAACGACGGTGATTGA